TGGGAGGAAATTGGGAAAGTCTAAAGGGTTTCTTTTTTCAACTGAACAGGTGATTTTTGTTCTGACTTCTTGCTTGAAGGCTCAAGTGTTTTACTTCAGCAACTTTAAAGCAAGGCATTGTATTTGCTGATGAGTTTCCGGAAGGTTCTTAGGACTTCAGTAAAACATTTTTGAAGAAGGTGGTGGAAACTGGGATATTGGAGCAGACCCTGAGTACAAGATGATGAAAGTACCCAACATCTTCACATAAGTGCTTGTGGGGTAACAGAGTGTTCCAGATACACAGGCAGCCTATTTGAGTGACAATTCAAGAGCAGCTGACATTCAAGCGCCTGTAAATAAAAGTACCTTTCCAATAACTCTTTCAAACTGGTGTCGCCTCAAAGTAAACGCGAATTAAATATCAAGATGCTAGAACTTGGAGATTTGCTGGAGCGAAGTCATAAAAGCTGATTTCTGTAGTACCACTCGTATAAAGCTTGTGAGAGAGAAGATGTTTTGCTTCGATATAAGGCTTGTGCTGCAGAGGGCTGTTTACTTGGAAGATGCCAGCAGCAGATCATTGTAATTGAGTTACCAAAGTATCCAGAGAATGTTTTCATTTGTAATCCGCTAATATTGCGAGGCTCAAGAGAACTTATTACTAACCTTAATACAAGAGAGCTAAAACGAGTTATTAGATGGGAGACACGTTGCCCACAGGAATTTAATAATGGAGGATGGCATGGTAGGGTTTTGTCTGTTTTTGTTGTTAAATGCAAATGTAAAAATGGCAAGAATGTAAGAAATCAGGAAGGAAACCCACTTCTGGTCTGATACTTCCCCACTGTGCATCAACTGATTTTTGTCCTAGTCCAAAGACCAAGCACCTCAAACTACAGCAGACTTGACTGTCCTACTTATGAAAGTAAACTCATATCCCTCCCCCTTGGTGGCTTTTGGAGTCACTGCAATGGCTTCAGGTCCAAGGACAGTGTCTTGCTTCCGAAATCTTAAACTATATCCCTGAATCTAGAAAAATAAGCTTTGTTTTCCATTTTGCAGCACTTCAGGGCTTCAGCTCTTCGCTTTTAACTTCTAATTCAGTGCTCATAAATGGATGAAAAACTAGTCAGAAGCTTCTCTTTGAAGAAGCAATGAAGTGGTGACACTTTTAATGCCTGTCCAATTCAGTCTCCTCTAATAGGCATCCCTGTGAGGAATAAGGTGGGGTGGCAGTAGAGACTTGTTTACTGGAGTAAATTAAGTCTTAAAAATGAAGAGCACTGCTTGAAGTGTCAAAAGAGCTATACCACATGCTTTTTGGCAGATAATGGGAGATGGCATCTTGTTCCCCTTCTGGATAGGGAGAGCAATTGTAGAGCCTTGTTATCCTTTTAGGTGAGAAAGCAGTCTCTGGAGAGCGAGGACGTAGACATCTCTAAGAGGTAGTAGAGACACGAGAGTGAATTTGCTGTGTTCTGTGTCTTAGCTCCCCAGGGCAATGCTTTCCAGCTTTGTCTCTCTCTAGAAGCCTGCCCTTATGTCTTGCTGAAATTGCTTTGCTTGGCTTATTTTAATTGCTGAAGTCTCTGAAAGAAATCCTGGGGGAATGGAGCGAGCAAGGTGGGTTTAGTGGATCTGAGAGAAGTGGTGTTCTGGTGCGGAGAGAGGAAACTCCCACCCTGTGGTACTAAAATGCTCTCCAAACTGTATGTTGTCTTCCTCCAGCCTGCAAAGGCTACTGCAGGGGCTGATTTATGCTGCATGGACGCACTTGTGCAGCTTCAGGCAAACCCTGGAGTGCTGTGATGTTGATCTTTAATGGATTTGGAGACTCATATTCCTGCCCAGACTTCCCTGAGCTTAGAAATTGCATCAATTACTGCTGTGTTTTATGCAGCCCCTTGGTTGAGCTCTTTTTTCCAGAGTGGAGTTGAGATGGTTAGAGGAAATGCTGTCTGTCTGGGGGTACATACCTCACTGCTAGAGAAAGAGGGAGGACTCTGCCTTGCTGTCTGTTCTGCAATACCCACCCCATTGCTCCCATCTTCAGTAATACACAGCTAAGGAGCTGAGACCTTGGATATTACAATCCCATAAGCCTCGAGAGGAGAGGCTTGTGGAGCCTGCTGATACGTTTGCCTTGCTGGCTGCTGCTGAGCATGCACTTAAGCATGAGCTAGCTGGCCTTGTCCTTAGCTGGCATCCCATAAACATGAGATGTGCTCGCTTGTGCTAAACCAATATGGGAAATACAGGCAGAAGGGAGCTGATGTGTAAGGAGGAAAGATGTCCATCACCTTCTCCCCCAAATCTGTCTCCATATAGAAGGGAGCTGATGTGTAAGGAGGAAGGATATCCATCACCTTCTCCCCCAAATCTGTCTCCATTGCTGTGCTCGGTTAAAAATTTCAGTGATTTTTCAGAGATAGAGATGATGTGGCTCCCAAATGGTTAAAAATTTCGGTGATTTTCAGAGATAGAGATGATGTGGCTCCCAAATTGCCCTTCCTACCTCTGCTCCCGCTGATGCGCTGACCTTTAGGCCAGTCCCAACGCTCTGTGTGTGTAAACACCCATCACCCTTTACCTCCTGGGCACATTACACACCCTTGCTGATGCTAACATGCGCGTATCCCCTTCCGCAGGGGCTGTACCAGCTCTTCAAAAGGCTCCGACGAGGCTGTTTTGAAGTCTGAATACCATTGGTGCTATGGGACACCATTATGTATGGGGAAGACAAATTACCAGGGCTGGCCTTTAGCCAGGACATAGTAGGGTGAACGCCTGGTGCTGCTTTTTTTTTCCCAAACGTGCCGTTGCATCTTTAATTACAAGGTTAAGACCTCTGTTTTATGACTCATCTGAAAAAACAGCACCTCCAACATAATTGCCTGAGCATGTTGCCTAGGGGACTATCCCTCATTAGTGACTCAGAGGGACAAGTGCCACTTAATTAAGTGGCACTGCCTGTTGTAATCCCCCAGCCTTGCCTTTTTCATGCCTAGTCCAAGCGGTGACCAAACCAGAGTCTCCCATAAAGGTGTGATACCAACCCAGGCAACATTACGTTTAGAAGGTATTTCTAATGAGGAAAGCAGCCAACTCTGAATTCGGGCTCCTTGGATGTTATCAACCCAAGGAAACAGGAGTGTTCAGTTGAAGAAAAAGCATTTTTGCCTAGTGAGGGATGAACATGTTGCTTCAGGCTCCCTCAGAAGTCATAAAAGAAGTGAGAAATGGATATCCCATCCTGGTGGGAATGTCAGTTCCTTGGGTAATCCATCTGCCTAGGCGTATTTTGTTTGTTTCTCTGAAATGCGTAAATGCAATGGTTACACAATAAGAGCCTCTTTAAAAACCTTTCCTTTGATCGTTAGCATGCTAATCAGCCTGGATGGGTCTTCTCCTTCCCTTCCAGGTGGAGGGAAACAATTGACTCCTTTAATGGGTGCCCCTTGGTCACCCTGCTTTGTTCCTCCGACCAATTGTTCTGGGATGAACATTGTGTTTCTCTCTTGGACCAGACACTTGAATTGCCCTTGGGTTTATGTATTGTTTTTTTTGGGTTTTTAAATGGTCATCAGGGTGTCCCTCCAGGAACCTGTGCAGCCAAATGCTGTCTGCATTGGGAGGTCTGAGCCACCCTGGGCTGTGACAAGTGTCGGGGCTGGAAGGTGCTGCCGTCAGTGGTGTGACTCGTATCCGTCTGTCCCACAAAGGCTCCCGGTGGAGCAGGATGAATTGCGATGCTTGAAGTTGTGGCACACTGTAAAGGGAGGGGAGGGGGGAAGCCAAAAACACGTCACCTGTAAGCCAAAAGTTATGGGGTAGAGAAAACAGTCTCATACCTCAAACTAAAAGCAGGAAGCCTAATCTGTAGAACAATAAAGCAGGCAAAACCTCTTTCCTTGTTGGCCCAAATTCATCCCAGGCTTGCGTAGGTAATGTTTGATTAGCCTAATGAAGTGGAGAAAGACAGAACAAATCTATTCCTCTTTCTGATTACATTTTGGCTGGGAAGAAGCATGTAAAGAGGCAGCATCTCGTAGCAGCTTTCTATAAGAGACTGCTTGGGTGACTCTTGCTCAAGGCTTGAAATGAAGAGCTGTTAGATCACCAAAAAATGGGGCACACACCTGTGATTCCAGCCCACGCAGTCTGAACTGTCAGATGCTGTTAGCATTAAAACCAGCCAGGCTGGGTTTAGGTACCAGGCTTTGATCACACCTGAAAGCAGATGCTCCTATGCTGTTTGAACATCTCCCTGCATCGTAAATACCTGATTTTCCAGCAGAAAATTGCAGAACTGACTTGCTAACAAATAAAGTATATTAAATAATGAGTTGTGGGGAATCGGTCCTGGTGCTGCAGCGTTTGTGGGCTCACTCTTGGTCAGTGTCACTTCCCATTTGTGGCTTCCTCATGAGCCCCTGTTGGTGCAGATGGTGTTTGCTGCAGGACCCCAGCTCAGGAAGTGGGCCAAGGAAGGCTGCAGTGCTCTGGGGCTTATCTTCAAGTGCCAAGCAGTGTTTTGGGATATCCTCATGATTAGGAGCAGCAGAATAGGGTGTGAATTGCTGTTTTCATCTGAATTGAGTTGTTTATTCTAAATTAAATTGTTTCTTTTTCATCTGAGCATAAGCTACAACCTGGACTTCAGTATGGCTTGTATTTTTTATAGAAGCTTTGCAGATGCTTAGATAGTATTACTACTGGATGCACTTGTTCAGGTTTGATTGGTCACTGAGATGGTCAGGCTTGTCCTAATCATTTATCTTGCTGTTTTGTGGTCCCAGTCCAAAAACTACTTAACTTTTTTCCAAGCAGTAACTGTATGAGATATTCTGGTAAATGCTAAAGTCAATAAAGAAAAGGCTGAAGTTGCCACATTTGGGAAAATCTGATGCCTGCATGATTTTGGTACTGGCTTTCTACTGTAATCCAAGCTTGCAGTAAGGTGAAGACACTTAGCATCTTGGTGAATCTTATATTTCCTTATTTTTATGTCTTTTTAGAGTCTCCACCAGCAGCGATGTCAAGAAATGGATACTTCTTTGAAGAGAGTGGCAAGTATCATTTGACTTCTTTGTGCTTGGTGTCGCCTTATTGGAGGGAGAGCTGCACTGCAGGGTTAGCTGAGAACTTGAAACAGGCAATACAAAATCTCTTTAGCTCAAGCAGCATGTGAAGACGGTCTTGTGTGGTGGTTGTGTAATCTTGTACTGGAAGCAGACTCTGTGTCTTTTAAATCCTGTAGATGTTGGAGATACTCAAAGCAGTCAATAATCATGTTGTCATCAGTGACTATTCTGGGTGGATCCTTGTTTTTCAAGTTCTTTCATGATGTTTTCCTGTAATACGGGCTGGCAGGTGTATTTGCTTGTCTCTTGGAGTGGAGATCACGTGTAGGTGTTGGATCCCTTTGGAGACATCCTGCCAAGAGCGCCAGGCAAATGATGGAGGGCTCCGGTAAATGCATCTTTTAGTACAAAGTGCTCTCAAAGGTATATTTTTTTCTTGGAAGCAGAATGAAGTTGTGGCATTTGGAAACTTGGATCACCTGCCTCAAGAAAGGTGGCTGAGCTCTCAGAGATATTATACTGACTAAGGGCCAAAGTATCATACAACCGAACTTGAAGTGCAGTGAAATCCCAACTTCTTCTTTTTCTGGAGAAGTATCATGTGTAGGGGTTGTTAGGGAGATATCTTGAGTTCAACTTAAGACTGGCCTCTTTGGGATGTAGCATTTAAGTGCCTGGTGCTTCTTGCCCTTGAGAAGGTGCAGTGCTTTGGAGTAACTTGTAAATAGTGAGAGCAGAAGTCTAAAATGCTCTGGTTGTTTTAAGCCTGTAAATGCTTGTTGCTGTCATAGGACGTATCCTTGTTTCAGGGAGCCGAGTCTTAGGTTAACATCTGGGAAAGAGAAGCCAAATGTCTGCCAGATGCCTGCTGCATTATATCCAGTGCTGCTGTTGATAAAACTGGAAGCAAGCACTCTCAGCTGTAAGAGGCCTTTTCTGAAGAGCTGCAGAAGGGCAGAAGTTAATGCCTGACCTCGGGGAGGCTTTATTGCTTTGGTATTTGCAGGTTTTTTGAGTGAATGTGTGGCACTAGGTCTGGGTAATCCTGCTCCAAACTTTACCTGATTTGCTTGTGCCCCTTGGGCTGTGTTTTGGTGGTATCTTGAGGCCTGGGAATCACAGAATCACAGCATGTGTTGGGTTGGAAGGGACCTTTAAAGCTGATCCAGCCCAACCCTGCAGTCAGCAGGCACATTGGTACCAGATCAGGTTGCTCACAGCCCCATCAAGCCTGGCCTTGAATATCTCCAGGGATGGGGCCTGCACCACCTCTGGGCAACCTGTGCCACTGATCGACCACCTCATGGGGAAGAGCTTTTTCCTCAGATCCAACCTAAATCTGCCCTTTTCCAGTTTAAAACCATTCCCCCTTGTCCTATCGCTCCATGCCCCAGTGAACAGCTCTTCCCCAGCTTTCTTATAGGTACCTTTCAGGTCCTGGAATGTAAGAGGGTGGTCCAGGTTGGGACCAGCAGTGGTGACTAAGCCCCCAGCATCTGGCTGAGAGCAGTGTAAGGGTTTAGGAGAAATGTCCTTGGAGGAAAGAGGAAGGTGGCAGTCTTCTGAAGCCACCTCCTTTACCCCAAGCCCTCCTGCCATGGGGAACACAAGCACTGCTGTCTGTCCTAGCATCTTATGTGGAAAGACCCTACATGCCCCCTTTCAGGACTCGATGTTGAACTGTCCAGGTGAAAAAAGCAGGTATCTGTGCAGGTATTTGTAGTTGTGGCACTCCCTGTGCAAAGCTCTCCTACGAGATAGGCAACTTGGTGCCATGACAGTGAGCATTTATTTCTGCCCTATTTGTCTTCCCCTTTTGTCTTAAGGAGATAGCACCTTAGAGCTACCATGGACTTTGTGAAACTGTGCCTGCTGCTTTCCTGTTGTGCTTCTGCAAGGTTTGGGGGAAGGAGGGAAGGTTACTCGCAAGTTCCTCTTGAGCCTGTGTGCAGTATTGAATGCTGCATTAACTGTGACTGAAAAGACAGTGGATTTCTTGGTTATTTCGCACTCAAATCTGCTGTCATTCTTGTTCCTCATTACAAACTGACCTTTCTGAAGGGTTCAGCTGTTGAGCGATGAGTCACCTTCTACTGCTTGATTTAACCGAGGGCTTGCGTGTTTCTGCACAGACGAGGGGAGAGCACATCCTGGTTGCCAGTGTGAATATTCACATGCCTCCGAGGCAGCGCTTTGGCGCTCTCCGTACTGAAGCTTCATGTGCTCAGATTCTTGAAGGCTTACCCAAAACCTTTATCAGGACTAGAGGAAACGGCAGAGGAAGAAAAAAAATTACCTTTTTAGAGTTTCAAAACGGCTTGTTTTGAAATGGAGCTACTTAATCATTTAAGCTGGTTTTTGGCACTGCTGGTTTGGATCTGCCAGGTCATAGAGACCAAGAGATGCTCTTGCTCCACCTTTAAAATAAAAACCCTTTCCTCTAAGCTGTGTGGTGGGGGAGAGTGGGGCAAAGAAAAAAAAAATAACTATTTTTAATCATATCTTTCTCCTTTGAGAAACGTCTTTTTGGTAACGCTACTTTTTGCAGTCGAGCTTTTTCCTTATCTCCTCCTGAGATCTTACATATACATATGGTTTTCTGTATCCTCAGTCATTAGGATGTTTTTGTTTGACCATATCTGGGGCTCTGTTCACAGACTGTGTTTGTCTTTGCCAGCGAACTTTTTTTCTTAGCCTCGTTGTGTTCTCAACAGCAGCTGCTGCAATGTTAAACCTCAGAAGTTTTGGTTTAAATCGTTGTAGCGAGGGTAATTTTGGCTGCAACCACCAAAGCAGAGCTTTGTACGAATCTCCTGGATATTTGCTGTTCATTAAAAACTTTCTGAAGTACTTAATTTGTAGCTCGGTTAATTACTGAGGCCCTGAGGAAAGCCCATGAACAGGATTTTGTAGGGAACGGATGGTATGATGACTATTTCAGAAGCTGAGATGGTTGTTACAGTCCCAACTATGTACCAACCTATTTGATAACTTCTTAAATGGCTAAAAATCCAGAAACTTAATTAAAGGAGCTCATGTCTTTAGCTACAAGTTTGTTTCCAGTTTGTTTCTTCCCTATCACTGGAAGAACTTGACTGAAAGCCATTTCTGTGGTATTTAGTGCATTGCAGGAGGTAAATGCATGGGATATGGGTTTTGTAACTTGCTCTGTAGAGGCAACATGAAGAGGAAAAATAAGGAAATCGGTTTGTGCCTGCCCAGGTAGGGGCTTCTGATGGAGAGTGTGGTGGCAGCTGTTGGCCATGCGGTGTTTTCAACCCGTGGATCTTGTCAGTTGTAATAGCTGTCCTCTGCTGTATCTTGCTGATGAAAATCCATGGTTTTCCTCATCTTTTGAGTCCGTGGAACATGCCTCTTACACAAGCAAATGAACAAAACCTGTCAGGGCTCAGCAGTGTTTAGTGTCCCACCTATTCCCCATGAGCAGGCTGTGTGTTTAGGTCAATTGAACCTTCAGTAGGGTGATTTTTTTTGTCAAATGAGTTTTCTTCTTGGCGAATTCAAGTGACTAATGAGGTGATTGTGCAGACACAATCCAAACCTGAAGATAATTGGCGTCCTGATGAAAGGCAGCTCAGCAATCAACATTCAGCGTAAGGACTCATCAAGCCCCACACTTGTCTCTTAGCTGTCAGCCTCCTGCACCTTCCTTGGTAGGGGAATATCCAGTGCCTGCTACAAGTGGATTTTAGCTCTGAAGACATTGGTATTAGCTGCAAGTGATTTAAATTCTGCCCATTTATGATGAGCTTTTTAATTGACCCAAGAACTTTCCCTGATAAGATGCAAAACCAAAGGCTTTCTAGTTCCTCCTGCAAGAGCCAAAGGAAGGGGGTCCCAGTGTAGCGCTGGGGATATCTGAATTGTTGTCTTGTTTTAGAGCTGGCTCAACAGATACTGCCACATAAATTTTTGTCTTCCAGAGCAAATCCCTCCCTGCTTGGTCGTCTCCTCTGACTTATTAATTGGTTTTGCTGGCACAATAAATTGTAGTTGTGTTGAAGGGCCCCAAGGCCCCAGTCTGGCTTGGGATGTTTGGACATATTTCATCTGCTTGTTTTTGTTGTTCAGTTTGGTATGTGTGGTGCAGGGTTTGAGGTTTTCTTTAAAATTTATCTTTATCTGTCTTGGAATTGTTTGCCTAAGTAGGAGCTTAATCTCAATGTCTCTGTGGAACAAATCCTTTCGCAATGGGTTTCCCCCGTTGAGATGCTCGGTTTACCAGCAGGAGATGCACTACTGCTACCTATGGAGAGCCTGAAGGTCTGGCTTGCAGGTCGCTTGTAGGTTTTTAGTTCTGAGAACTGGGGCTGTAATAAAATGAACGCTCCTGATTTCTGTGGGTTCTGGTACAGAACCGAAATTCCACGTGCTGCTGTGTTTTGTTTAAAACCCAACAACAAAATAAAAACAAAGCCCCACTGAATTACTTGGATTGTTCACAACATTTCCTAGAAATCTGGCTGCAAAATACAATACTGGAGTTAATTCAAAAGTGCTTGGGTGTTGGTGTAGTGGGTTGGTTTTGTTTTTTTGTAGCAGATCAGTTCTTTCAGTTCTGTTACAAATTATTACTGAAGTGGCAGGGAAACTTTGTTTTCCTCTGGCTCTTCATGACAAAAGCCTGACTCCAAGTAGGGTTGGAGACATGCGACTGAAGTGCTGGCTGGCTGGCAGTGGAGGGATGTGTTACTTAAAGGATGTGGGTCTGGTCTTGGTGATTCACCTGCTAGATGTTTGTTTCTACCTTCTTTTTAACAAGATGTGGTTGTGGTTTTGAGGCACACTCAAAGCTTTTTAGGTCCTGAATTGACATCTCCACAGCAGGGGGCTGTTACTCCAAAAGGCCACAAACCCATATCTGATGACCTTCCAGTGACTGCTTGAGAGCTGGGAAGCATCATCCAAGCCTTCCCCAGCTCTTCTGCTCCTCAAGCTACCTGTGGAGGGGTTGGGATTGAAGA